ACTAAAACAGTAGAGTTGCACCATGGAGCAGCGTGAAATTTTAACTCCTAGGATGCAGGATTACTGTCAAATTTTTTCGGTGGTCAAACATTCGTTGAAAAGTGCAAAATGGACAACGAACTGGGTGTCGAGAAAGAGAGAAGTACGACTAAATCTGCAAAATGCACTCGTTTTAGAAATGTGATAAAACAGTATTTTTCATGTCTTCGTGCACGGATTTCAGCCATTTTAACTATGAATCTAGACCACAGGTGAATAGAAAGTATCCATGCTTCCCAAGAAGTCTTCAAATTGGCACAGTACTAACTGCGAACTTTGACGTGACTGCACTCGTGAAAAGCAAGCGTACGCGGGAACTGAATTTGAAACTTTTAGCTCACACATGGACAGAAAATACCTCCGCAAAGTTTCAGCCTCTCAAGTTTACCGGTTTCTTTAATCGTTTCTTGCCAAAAAATTTACAAATTTTTTCCAAGTGGCCGCACGTGAGATCTAGGCGCGCAAGAGCATTAATTTAAAACTGAACGGTGTTATACGGGATGGAATATGCTCCTACAATCTCAACTCCCAGCATTCCTGGTTGATAATTTGAAAGTGGATGACACTCATTCCTTAACACATATATATGTATATACATATATATATGCATACAAATATGTACATACATATATATACATGTACATATATATATATATATATATATATACATATATATATGTATATACGAGCAACTTATCGTCAGCACACGTCTTTGCAACTGCATAGGATGCAAAATGCATAAAAACTCGACGGTACAAGCGTCAGAGTGAGGCTATGTATTTTGCTATAAGTTACTGCGATGGCACAGATGGACAATGACCCTACATGTGCTGGAGTTCGTAACAATGACAACTTAATCAATGCCACACATACAATGCACCAAAATCTTGAACCTACGTTTCGTTTTCTGTATCTCTTTAACAGATATCTTTAAAATTTCAGTAGCCTAACTTCTCCGGTTTTGAAACCAAATTCTGTAAAAAGGAGGGAAATGACTTCCCATTGTATGTGTATTCGCTTGTACAGTAAGCAAAAAAACAGGAAATTGAAAAGGCAGCAAATTTTTCCAGAAAAAATCAACCTGAGTTCTCCAGAGGATACCACAGTTGGCCACGCATCCGTTA